AGGGTCATAATTTTCAAGGACTGAAATTTGATGTGAATGGTCATCTTCACATGAAAACAACGCAACTTGAATTCCATTATAAGCGGCCAGAAATCTTCCTAGGAAAAAGAAAAAAAAAGAAGTCAAGTATTGAACATAAAGTCGCACTACCGAAAATGCCTTATTAAGTATCCTCCTACCATTTGGAAGTACGCACGCAAGCCTAATTTGCGAATTCGTAGAAATAGAAGATCTCTCGATGATCGTCGGACCTGTACGCTTGTCACACTAAAGGTAATCATATAACAAACATCAAAAACTATACACTGAAGGGTCAAGAACAACAACAACATACCTGATATGACTCTGGTGTCGAGATATCCCACAGAGTTGCATCACCATCTTTTTCAAGTGAAACAAAACTATCCACTCCCGGTGCTCTAACCATCGATCTTACGTCACTCCGATGACCGGTCCACGAATGTTTTAACTCTAATGCGGTCACCGATTGCAAGCTATCGAATATTTCAACAAGACGAACCACATATTTTTTAATGCGACCTTGTGGGCTTTGTGCAACTATTGCAAGCTCTACTGATGCTTGATATAAAAGTCGTTTATTAATCGCAAGGCTAATAATCGTATTTTACCAACAATCACATTCTAAACTTTAATATGCAAGCAAGCAAGCAAACAAAGCAATAACACTTGGTCCTTACATTTCTGGAAATCGGAAGAGATATTATCATGAAAGGCGGCAGTACTTTCGCAAAAATAATCCACCTCCGACACGGGAACCGCTTGTGCAATGCGTAATAACACGAGTACTTTGGGGATGCGGCGTGGCCTACAATAGAGATTCTAATATTCGTAAATGAATTAAAATCCATATTCTCTAGGAGTGCCGACTGTTTTCACCAAAGAAGAAAAGAAAAAGTCCTCCTTACTCGTATTCCCCAGATCACCATTGATCCATCTCGCTGAATCTGATAAAATAAATCCGACGTATCACTTGCGAGATTCTTCAGCTTCCTTAATCCCGAGCCAAGTACGGCTTGATCGATTTCACCATCAAACACTTCGATGGACATCTTTAAAGAAGTTAAAAATTCCTTTGGATGAATCCAATGTATTGGAGTAAAATAATCAGAATCTTCTGGGTCAATTCTCTCCTCTTCCGATAATTGGTGTGTCACTAATGATTGGTCAGGATCAACTACAGTGGTTATATAAAGATTGTGAGGCTCTTCGGGATTTGTCGGTACCCAGATTCTGCATATCTCATCTCTACACATTGTCAATAGAATATTGCTACCATTGGATCTGAATAATTAATTGTGTAATTTTTTTAAAGAAAAAAATGTAAATAAAAAAAAAAAAATGAATAAATAGTATTATGGAAAAATAATATTACCCACTTTTTTTGTTCTGCTGGACCTTCACGCCATGCAAGATTAACAACAGCTCGCGGATGTGGCAAATAGTTAAAATTGAATCTTCGTTCTTTCGCTTCACTATTCTGGGGATTCCACCAAACCTTCACTAAACGATCACACTATTATTAATGAAACAATTCATTATTGATTAACCGAAAATTAAAAGACGCATAGCGCCAATTAGAACAATGCGTTACCTCCCCCATTGTAGCGAACATAGTGGAATCCGGAGAGAATTGGGCAAGAATCACTTTTGATGCAACTCTAATAAATAAAAAAAAAAGCTGTTGTTATTTTCTATTTAGACCAGATTGCTCAAAAAGTAAAATAAAATGACGGCAAACTTTTGCTCCCAGATTTTTGTCCATTTTATCTTGTCACCGTCCATTTCCTGGTGATCTTGGTCAAATATCTGTGGTAGTTCCCATAATGCAAGTGCCTCTCCACCCACCAGAAGAAAACCTTTGGCAGTTCAAAACTATAAGCCTTTCAAATTATATGGAATTCAAGTTGCGTTGTTTTCATGTGAAGATGACCATTCACATCAAATTTCAGTCCTTGAAAATTATGACCCT